AAAACCGAGCAGAGCCTGTCATTACATGTTTAAACACAATAATTGGAAAAACTACTGCTAGATGACGTTCGTTTCTCTTATGCAAAAATTTATCAAAACTTTCTATATAAGCGAAATCATAATTCAAAATTTAAACATGCATTTATTATTTTACGTATTTTTATGTATATGTTTGATATAAGACGTAAGTAGTAGGATAACAAAAGGGGGGTCCGTGGTCCCCCCAGGGGGTATGGGGGGGGGGCGAGGGGAGAGAGGGGGATCGTAGAATTCCCAGGGGACCTCGGGCCTCCTTTGAGTCGGTAAGATGATTTTCTTTCTTCAGAGGGTTCGTAGGGGAGAGAAGGTGGATCCCTCTGGCGGTCGTCGAGACAGGTTTATCCCTCTCGGTCGGTAAGGCGGTCGCAGGATTTCCCCGGGTCGGTTCCCCCGTTCTCGATGCCGTCCTAGCGTTTTTTTCTAGCGTTTTTTTCTAGCGTTTTTTCCTAGCATTTTTTCTAGCGTTTTTTCGGGCGCGTTCTCGACGCCGCCCTAGCGTTTTTTTTCGGGCGCATCCTAGCGTTTCCCGCTAGGTAACCCCGGCCGCGTCGCATTTTTTTTCGGGCGCGTTCTCGACGCCGCCCTAGCGTTTTTTTCGGGCGCGTCCTAGCGTTTCCCGTTAGGTAAACCCGGGCGCGTCATCGACGCCGCCTTAATGTGTTTTTTTCGGGCTCGCGTAGCCTTGGGCGCGTTACGCCGCCCTAGCGTTTTCCACGCAGTCTAGCGCTTTTCGCGTAGCCTTGGGCGCGAATGTCGCGATTAGTCGCGTCGTCGAAGCGATTCGCGTTGTTGACAGGATGTTGTGGATTGTCGCGTCGCCTTAGGCGTGTCTATTTTCCATAACGTCGCGATTAGGCGCGTCTCGCGTGGCCTAGCGCGTCCTGTTTCGCGGGATGTCGCGGTTTGTTACATCGCCTTAGGTGTGTTTCATATTTAGATGACTATGAGGATATAGCGCATGTCCGTTTGTCTTGTTTTGTAGAACGTTGTGGTTTGACGCGTCGTCGAGGCAATTTTTTGAGCGATACTTGTCGCCGTGTGTTTACGATGGCGAGAACCGTTAAGTGAATCGGTGCCAGATATGTGAGACACGAATGATCGACGACGATGAGATGTGTTGGTGCCATTCGCTGGTTGATCTAACATCCTCTCCATTGCGAAATGTGACGGCGGTATGTATCCATCGGTCAATGTGACGGAATACGTCGTGAGAGGACAATACGCACCGATTTCCAATCAATTAAAGAGGCGCGGTTGCCGAGTTCCTCAACGTGAGATTTCTAAAAGCCTAAAAAGATAATAGAGGCGTGCGTATGTCATCATTATCGAGGGATGACATATAATCTTTTATTGGAGGTATTCTACGAAAAGAAGAAGCCGATTGAGATTAGCAGGCGACAGGAGTACATGGTGAATTTTCACGAAAGCGGTTATTACGACGTGTTTAATGATAATGATGACGACGAGATGTTTTTTTGCGCTCATCGTAAGTATGGGAGGAAAAGCGGTGTCGTTTCGTTAGCCGCGTACGAGGAGGAGAGAAAAAGAAGAGAGCGCATTGGCAACAATTGGCGCAACTAAGTGTGCACGCATGTAAGTGCATTATAATTGTAATATAACTATGGATTGTATATATGAATATGTATGAGAGAATAAGATTAACCGCGAGAGAGAAATGGAGTTTTTCCTCGTTCGTTTGCGGCGTATCGCGGGGACGAGAGGCGGATCGACGATGCGTCGGGAATCTTCAATTAGTGATACCGAGGATGACGTTATATTATTGAAATTGGGGTATATTATTGGGAACGTATGAATAACGAGAGATGGAGACCACGCGAGGGGGAAATCGTCGCACGAGTATTAATAATGAGAAATTTAATGTGCAATATCAAGGACAACGGTATTGGGAATGTATGAGAGATGGAGGTCGTGCGAGGAGGGGGAATTGTTGTAGGAGTATTAATGATGAGAGAATATTTTATTACTCTATTGTTATTATTTTATTACTCTATTGTTATTATTTTATTACTCTATTGTTATTATTTTATTACTCTATTGTTGTATTATTGTATCAGGCATATAAAAATAGGAAAGAGCTATTTGTAGGATGTTGCGGTTAGGCGCGTTCTGTATCTAGACCGTTTCCGCGGGGATCTAGCGCATCCTGTTTTTTCGTTGCAACGGAAAGACGCGCGTTTTGATTATGTAAGATGTCACGTGTTTTGTCATTTCGGAATGTCGCGATTGTCGCGTTTTGGACGCTGTCTCGGGGGTATATATCTAGTCGTGAGAGGCATTTTCTCTCATTGTTAGGAACGTATATGGAAACAGTCGCGCCTAACGGTGGTTCGTCTTCGAGCGAGAGCGACGAATCGTTTTTACGCGCGTTCGATCGTAACGTGACGTATCGCGATCTCGATGACGATCGTTGCGAGTTGCTTATTGAGAGTGACGATAGTTTAGAGTGTCACGAGACTATTGCGCCCGGTAACGACAAGGAGTGGATCGTGACGAGAGAAAATGTTCGCTGGAATGTGGCCACGTATCATTTGTGACGGGGGATCGGTACGGAGAGTCCGCGAGAGAAACTGTGAATCGAAACGTTGCTCGCTCTGAGCGATAGAGCGGTAATCTATGAGAGAAAACAGCGAGAGAGAAAAAAGTTCGAGACGTTAAATTCGTCGTTCCTACGGACAATTGGGGTAACACAGTGTGGAAAGTTGCGACATGGAGAAGAGTCGAGATCTTCTCGAACGCGCGGCGGGAGTTGAAGGGGTGTGCGCCTATCGTATTTGGGAACAGGAGTGTATCGAGTGTCTCGAGGTCTTGAGAGAAAGATGTGAGAATAGAGTCGATCCTACGGTTACCGGAACGATAAATTCTTTAATCTCTCGAATAGCGCAGTTGGAGGGTGCGAGATTCGCTTTGAGTCGACGTTTTAGTTACTCGGATGCAGGATACGACGGTTCGAAGGGATTCGAATGGGTGGATATCGAGACGGCTTTCGCGAATCGCGTACGAACGGGTGCTGTGGTAAATATCGAGTATACCGAACCTCGATGGTTTCTTGAGGACGCGAGGGCCACGGTGCTCGAGCGAGTGCGAGTCGATCTTGATATGCACGCGTGTTTAAAGGTCAACACCGTGTTTCACGGGGAGTTCGTCGCGAATGATAAAAGCGCCGTTAAGAGCATTCGCACGAAGAATTGTCAGTATTCGGTATGTTCGGTCCGATCTACGAGAATGGTACGACGGAAATGTTATGAATGTTGTTCTGACGTCGCTGGAGGAATTTCAGGAATGCGATAGCGGTTGGACGTTATTTCGGATATTAAATTTAATGATTAATGTAAATAAGTGTAATCTTATGCACGCTGGATGTTGGATGTTACTTCCTCCGAAGATAAAATATAAGAGAGCCGTGATTAATGTACGTTCACGATAATGCGTGTTTCGCGTGGGCGGTGATGGCCGCTCTATATCCCGTTGATATACACTTGGATAGATCGTCGTCGTATCCTCACTATTCGTTGATGCTGAATTTCGATGGTATTGATTTTCCTATGCCACTACGAAATATCGCTAGATTCGAACGTCTCAATGATTTGTCTATTAACGTATTTGCTATTCGAGAGAAAACGGGGAGAAACGATATCATGATCGTTCCTTTGTCGCTTACGGGAAATAAAAAGTCTACGCACGTAAATTTGCTCTATCTGTCGAACGAACAGCGCGGCGATAATATCGGTCATTTCGTATGGATAAAGCACTTGTCTCGACTGTTAACGTCGCAAATAAATAAGCATAAGGAAAAAAATACATATGCGATCGGTAAGCGTAAGAGAGATTATTCTCGTTGCGAGATAAATTTTGTATTAATTATATATTGTATTTTTCAGATGTCTACATTATTTTTATTCAAATGAGAAATTGGTCGCGCATAGCATCGAGTACGGAAAAGCGAACGACTGTGCTGTTATTCTTCCGAACGAGGACGACAAGTGGCTCTCTTTTCACAATCACGACAGAAAGGAGAGACTACGATTTGTTGTGTATACAGATCTGGAGTGTGTCTTAGAAAAGGGAAATCAATGATTCAGTGGGAGTCTCGACAATAGATTTGCCTATCAACACCACAAGGCGTTTAGCGTAGGATATTATTTGCATAGCAACAGAATCGTTTTCGCGTATAGATTTTGCCGAGGCGACGACTGCGTCTCGTGGTTCGTCGAGCAACTGCGCGCTCTCGCGTGTCGCGTGAAGAAGATTCTGTGCGCGAGCGTACCGATGTCGGAGCTCACGCCGAACGAGTGGAACGCTTTTCAAAAGGTGACAAATTGTCACGTGTGCGGAAAGAGCTTTGAGTCGTACGATATTCGTGTGCGTGATCACTGTCATCTTACTGGACGATATAGAGCCGCGCACGCGAGTTGCAATTTGAACTATTAGAACGCGTTCATTGTTTTTTTTCACAATCTATCCGGTTATGATGCACATTTCATTATTAAGGATATAGCGAACGCTTTCGAGGGTAGAATCGATTTGTTACCGTTGACTAAGGAAAATTACATCGCGTTTTCGAAAATCGTCAACGATTCGACGTACGGAAAATGGAAAACTTGTGTTAAGCTATGTTTCGTAGATTCGTTTAAGTTTCTTAATACTAGTTTAGAAAAAGTAGTTTCGTATCGAGAAAAATTGAGGATCTCGCGACTCGAATTTTCTGATCTCATCGCGGAGGATTTCGAGTTGCTCACGCGCAAGGGTGTATTTCCTTATGAGTATGTTGATAGCGTTGATAAACTGTTAGTAACCGAATTATCGCCGATCGAAGCTTTTTACAGTTCTTTAACTGGTGAAACTGTGAGTGTTAGTGATTACGAACACGCGCGAAGAATATGGGAACGTTTTCACGTGAAAACTCTCGGCGAATACAGCGTTCTATATTTGAAAACGGATGTGCTTCTCTTGGCGGATGTCTTTGAAAATTTTCGAGATACTTGTATGGAAAGTTACAATTTGGATCCAGCGCATTATTTCATATTACCAGGATATACGTGGGACGCTATGTTGAAATATACGAACGTTCGATTCGATCTGCTCACGGATATTGATATGGTGATGTTCGTAGAGCGCGGTATACGCGGCGGGTTAAGCCAATGCTCGAATAAATACGCGCGAGTTAATAATCAATATGAATCATCATATGATTCGTCTCAACCGTCGTCGTATCTTATGTATTACGATGTGAACAATCTCTACGGTTGGGCTATGTGCGAACCTTTACCGTATGCGGAATTTCGTTGGGTCGAGAATGTCGAGGGTTTCGATATTATGTCCGTGCCATCTGACTCCGATATTGGTTATATTCTAGAAGTCGATCTCGAATATCCGCGACATCTTCACGACGATCACGCGGATCTTCCGTTTTGCCCGACGCGCGAGAGACCACCGGGAAATCGAAACAAAAAGCTACTCGCCACGCTCTACGACAAGTCGCGTTACGTGACGTATTATCGTAATCTTCAGCAGTGCGTGCGACACGGTTTACGCGTGACAAAGATCTATCGCGCGTTGCAATTCGCGCAGTCTCCTTGGTTGCGCGCGTATATCGAGCTCAATACGGAACGGAGAACTCGCGCGAGCAATGAGTTCGAGAGAAATCTGTATAAGCTGATGAACAACGCGGTTTTCGGTAAAACAATGGAGAACGTACGTAATTACGTAGACGTGAGACTCGTGACGCGTTGGGATGGAAGATATGGCGCAGAAGCGCTGATCGCGAAACCGAATTTTCATAGTAGGAGCGTTTTCGACGAGAATCTTATGGCTATCGAGTTACGCAAACTCGAGGTTCAATTTAACAAACCAATCTACGTCGGTATGTGCATTCTAGAAATATCTAAGATGCGATTGTACGATTTTCATTACGATTATATGATACTTTTATCGCTTTATCGTTCTAAATGCAAAATTATGTACACGGATACCGATAGCTTGATATATTTTCTGGAATGTCAAAATGTTTACGAGAATATGAAGCGAGATATCACGAAATTTGACATTAGCGATTATTCCGACGACAACGCGTACGATATACCGCGCGCGAATAAGAAGGTTGTTGGTTTGATGAAAGATGAGAACAACGGAGCGATAATGACGGAGTTCATAGGACTTAGGGAAGATGTATGCTCTGAGAGTTTTGGGAAAGAGCGATACGAAGAGAGTAAAGGGCGTTCGGAGGAATACCGTCGCGAAAATGATAACGTTCGAGGATTTCGCGTGTTGCTTGAACGAATCGTTGCAGCAATCGAGACGTCCAGCGTGCATACGCTCGATGCTGCACGAGGTTTACACCGTGTCCGAATTAAAGCTAGTTTTGAGTCCTTTCGACGACAAGCGATACTTAATACCTGATTCCACTAATACATTACCGTGGGGCCATATAAGATACCATTATTATATACTAATGTAGTATTGTAACGGTACGTCCCTGCGCGCTCGGATTTTATCTCTGGACGCGGGGACGTGCGCTCGGTTATCGCTCGTCGGATGTCGGGTTCGTGTGAGGTGCTGCGGCTGAGCTTTAATTTCTAATTATAATAAATTTGTGACGCCTTCTCGTTTTTGCGCAGTCGTTCTTTGCCGTTTTTCTTTCGCCGGTCGCTTTGTGATGTAATGCGATTCGATTATGATTATGTCGGACGCAGGTCCGTATCGGTATGCGCGTTGCCAGGCAACCGGGCCCGCGCGTGTGCGTTGCTAGGCAACTGTTGACGCTAGCCGTGACACGTGGGGTGGATGTCGCGGGAAAGTCCGAGAACGCTCCGACTTTCGAGAGATGGAGCGACAATACTGAGAACTCTCGGTATTGTCGGGAGGAGGAGGAAAATCTAAGAACACTTTGATTTTTCCCCAGACGGGAGATGCAAGAATATCGAGAACGCTCGGTATTCGTTGCGAGAGCGAGAAAGCTGAGAACACTCCGAATTCTCGAGAAAGGATAGAACAGGAATACGGAGAACGTTCGGTATTCGCTGAGAGAATCTTCTCTCGCTGTTCTGGTCGGAACGGTTGTCTGTGCTGGACAGGTCGGAGGAGCGGATAGGACTGGTTGTTCGTCTTAAAATTTGTCGGGTATTTATACCCGTATCCGCGCCACGTGTCACCGTTTAGTTTGTTAGCGTTTGTTAATGTGACAATAGCTGTCACGTCGTCGCTGCGTGACAGCTCGTCGGCGCGCGTGTGTCGGTCGGTCGCGGTCGGGAGTGTTCGGGCGGCCTCAGATGGCGCGGGCCGCATTAGCGCGGTAGTAACGGAGCATCTTTCGGATGTTCTGTTACAGTATAAAAAATTGTACCAATATAGAATAAGTAAAATTTGTACTAATATAGAATAAGTGATACTGTACATTCTTTATTCATATAATACAGCTGTTTTATGAATCCAAGAATTATGTGTATTGTCCATTCCTAGCCATTTGACAAAAAACTTTATCGTCCTTTCTACGTAATACTTTCTCAACGAGATAGATATCAGGATTGGAAACTCGCAGTAACTCGTGTTCGTAAAACCCTCCGGCTATTGGTTCTTTACGATAGTTTTTTAGCAGATACGTCACGGGATTCGTGTGTTGCACCTTAGCGATTCGAAAAATCTCAGTCGTCCAGTTAGGCGTATATCCCTTTTCGAAAATCGTTTTGAACTTGCTGACGCGTACCGGATCGTTCACCTTGAATCTTGCGGGGGCTGCGATCTTCAAGTGACTGTATACCGTGGAGAGGAGTCTCTTGGCAATGGCTGGAGTTACGTCCGCCGGTCGCATTCCGATCGTTCGATGCGTGCGATTGTTATACTCCGAGATTAAACGCGGTAGAGCATCGAACCATCTGTACGATCCGTTTAGCGTGAAGAGTTTCCACATATTGTTCTTGAGCGTGCGATTAAATCGCTCCACAACCGCCGCCTTCATCACCGAATACGTCGAGTAGTGGCGTATATCGTACCTGTCAGTAATCGCTTTTACGGAGGCATCGTAGAACTCCTTGCCCTTGTCCGTTTGTAGATTTCGCGGATGTCGAGCGTCGTCGCGAAATATCTTGGATAACGCCACGGCTACCTCGCTTCCGCTCTTGCTTTTCAGTGGCACAGCCCACGTGTATTTGCTCAACACATCGATAACCGTCATCACATAATTGTAGCCTTTGTTTTGTCGCGCGTACGGACGCATCTCAACGACATCGGCCTGCCACAGGTCGTCATAATCGCGCACTACGACTCGACGACGCGGAAAATTTCTTCGCGCGGGCTTATGAAGCCCCTCGACGAGTCTCCTCTTCTCGACACTCATCGTTGATTTTGACGAGGAGGCGCGATTCGCGTTGGTTTTATTCGTGCGTGTTCGCTCCTGTTCCTCGTTCTAAACGTTAATCGTGTGTTTCATGATATTTGGAATATCCGTTTTTAGTGCGATTACTAATTCGTTTATTGTTTCTCTAGTCACTATTTTATCCACGTTCAACGAGGCCAGCGTCTTGTCCAATATCTCTCTCGTTACCGCTTTATTCGTTAGCTCTCTCGTGATTCTCGTCAGATCTGTCACGCTACACGCGAGATTCTCCACATTCGTCGATATTTTCTCGCGGCTCGTCGACGATGCGTCGAGCTCGTTTCGCACGGATTTCTCTAGATTATGCAGTGATTCCTCTAGGATCTGTGTTCGTTTCTCCTGAGTGTCGCTGATCATCTCAACGGTCTTTCGAATCTCGCTCGAGTCTCTAGTTCTTCGCACTTTGTCTTGTTTTTCCTCCATTCGTCCTAACTCACGTTGAAACATGAGCAGATCTTTAATTCGTTGATTGTTCCGTTTATCGAGTGCTTGATCTCTCGCGCCGTTTTTTCTAACCGAGCGACATTCGTACCAGCCGCAGCGTCAACGTCCATTCTCGTAGCACAACTGATCGCTTTACACCACGGCGAAATCGTTAAATCCTCGTCTGTATCTATCATTTCTTAACGCGCTGTCTTTATCGATGACTACGAAACCATATTTGCGTTTCCAACACGCGCGACATAAGGCGTAAAAATTCTCATACGACATATCCGTGTTCACGTGCTCGTTGTAAACGTGCTTTAGGTTAGTGCCATCTTGTTTAAACAGAATCAAGAGATTCGCGTTGTCGCGTATCAGGTGTTTTGGAATTTTAGCGTATGTCTGACAAAGATAGAAACAATCGATGTTCGAGTGTCGACCCATGGCAAAATATTCCCTGATCGCGTTCTGCTTGTCACAGGCCACGTCATCGAACACGAATATCGAATCGGGAAGCGCCTCGCTCGGTGGCACGACGTCGCTATTGTTTGAGAACGCGCGATAGCCGATCTCGTCCATCGACTCGAGAAGTTCCACCAGATATCGATATTTTGGTTGTTGCAGAGATTTTGAGTAGACGTACACATTCTCAAAGCGTGCGCCATGCGGACTTTCGAGCATGCTTATCAACACGTTCGTTTTACCGCAATTGGAGGGGCCGCAAATGATGCAACGTATCATGTTCGGTAGTAGAGGGCCATGTCTGCGCGCCCTCCCGACCGCGTCGCCCGAGATTCGTCAAGCCTTACGATCGAGATTGAGCACTCCTATAGCTGGCGACCGTCGAACGAATCGCATTTATGCGCGCTCGCTTCGAAAAGACGCGACCGATAATTGCTCCACTTATACTCGACGGCGATTCGATCGCGCACATTGATCGGTATGTTTCCCCTATTAACGGACAAACGCGATATTCTCAATCTATCCGCTCAACAGTTGCAACTTATTCCGAAGTTCGTTCTCGTGCGTGATTTCGACAGATACGTGGAGCTACTGTGGGACAGATTACCCGATCATCTGAGAGCGGATCCTGAGGTACAACGTTGTCGCGTGTGTCTGGAACATTATAATCGTCCGTGGCAACAATCGCATATAGACGGTCCTGCGCCTCTTATCAAAAATTGTAACGAATGTTTAGCGGCGAGGGACTACTCAATGCGGCGATAAACGCGCTTCCCTTCGAACTACATATTCCCGGGTATCAATTTTGTGAGCCCGGCACCCATCTCGCGAAACGATTGGCGCGCGGCGATCGAAGCGTAAATCCGTTGAATGCGGCGTGCCGCGAGCACGACATCGCCTATTCGCGAAATAAAAAACTCGCCGATCGCCACGACGCCGAGCACTCGCCGAGAAAGCGCGCGAATGTATAACAGCCGGAGATTCCACCTTCGGCGAGAGAGCTGCCGCGACCGCCGTATGGGCTGCTATGAAAACAAAGACAAAGCTAGGCATGGGTTTGAGAAAGAAGAGGAGGAAGACGACAACGAGGAGGAGGATACCTCCAATAGTGAAACGTGGAGGCTTGTTACCCATTTTTCCGATATTAGGCGCGCTCGGTTCTTTAATCGGTGGCGCGGCGGGTGTCGCGAAGGCAATAAACGCCAGTAAAACTGCACGGCGTCAACTGGAGGAGTTGCAACGTCAAAATCGAGCGATGGAGGGTCACGGATTGCATCTAGCGCCTTACAAACGTGGCAGTGGTGTGACGAGAAGAACGAAAAAAAATCATGGAAAGAAACGTTAGGATCGCTCAGGTTACCGCTCTCCGGCATCACGACGAACGAACAATTGAACCGTTCGGCGCGTCGTCTACGAGTACCCTTCTTCAGAGGAATGTTTATGCGTAACGCATTACCATTAAAGGCGCGACATAACGAGAGTGGCATCGTGAATCTCGACGACTCGATGAGTTCGGGTACTCACTGGGTCGCCTATGCGAAGAGGGGAAACGACGCGATTTACTTCGACGGTTTCGGCAATCTTTGACCGCCGAGGGAACTCGAGAGATATTTCGGCGGCGTAAATATAACGTACAATCGCGGATCGTATCAGACGTACGATCAGAACATTTGCGGTCAGTTGTGCCTGCGATTTCTCTCGAAAATCGATCGCGATGTCGCTGAGTCTTTCGTTCACCGGTAGGAGTAGCGTTCTCACGGCGTGCTATTTTCCTGCTTTAGATCTGAGCGACGACGATTACGAGTTAGATCTCACGAATTTCGAGACGTACAACACTATACCGAATGTCGATTCCACGAATAATAAGTTCTATTACGACGACAAAACGATCGTGATTCCCGAAGGTTCGTATGAATTAAGTGCGATTAGACAGATCTAAACGCCGCTATCTCTAAAAAGCGAAAGATCGACGAAAGCAAGAGGACGAGCGACGATGACGAGAGCGACGACATCGTCTATGACGAGAGCGACGAGGGCGAGAGAGGCGCGCGGTCTCTGATCATTCGAGCCAATGAGAAACACTATGAAAAGTGAAATTAGATGCGAGCATCAAATCGATTTCGCGAAACTGAACAATATCGGTTCGCTCCTGGAATTCTCATCGTCGCGCGTGCTACGACCGAACAAATGGCAAACGTCCGACGGACCCGTGAATATCATGAGCGTAAATATCATTCGTGGAGTGCAATATCACTGCAGGTGCGTACAGCAATAACGAGCCGGTTCACACGAGTTTTCGCCGAATGTTCCTCCGGGATATAAACTGTCGAACGCTCCAACATCGACCATTTACTTTCCGATCATCGCGCAAAACGTTACCGATATTACGCTTCGAATCGTGGATCAAGATGGGCGACCGATCGATTTTCGCGGAGAAGAGATAACGGCGCGACTTCATATGCGACGACGAAGGCAGAGAGAAATGCGCGAGAGCAAAAGATGCTCGTTCTAAATGAGTGGTACTCGAGAGGAAGAGAAGACGCAAACGCTACATCCGCGATCCCACCGCAAAACGACGCGACGAGGAAGGCACACGAGGGAAGAGCGAACGAGCTGAACGCCGCGAACGTTGCATTCTTAAGATCTTTAGGTTTCGTCGTGAAGAATCGACATGGCGAGCGACATTTTAAGTATCGGAGGTGCCCCGATCTTTGACGATCGTATCGTGAAAATAAAAACTCACACTTACAATCCATATACTAATACTACGTTCGGATACAGCGACGAGATACGAATACCTATTCAGCAACAGGATCTGTATACGTTGCCGTGTGAAAGTTTTCTATACATCGAGGGAAAATTCGCGACGAGAAAAAGCACGAAGGAAGGCACGGCGAAAGAAGTTACGAGAACAAAGCTAGTCAATAACTGCGTCACGTTTATGTTCGACGAGATTCAATACGAGCTTAATGGCGTGGAGATCGATAAGAGCAGAAACGTCGGCATAACGACCTTGATGAAAAACTATGCATCGTTGAGCTACGAGAGAGATAGAATTTTACAGAACACCGGATGGGAAATACCGCCTATAGTGTTGGACGATTTCAACTTTTGTGTGCCTCTCAACGTACTTCTTGGTTTCTGCGAGGATTACAAACGCATAGTGATAAACGCGCGATACGAACTCATTCTGATACGCGCTTGCAACGATAACAGTTGCGTCGTAGCGTATTCAGATCAGAGACCGAAGATTACCTTGTTAAGAATACAGTGGCGAATGCCACACGTGATACTTAATGACGTTAACAAACTATCGCTTCTGCGAACATTGGACAGTGGACGATATCTGAGCATGGGCTTTCGTTCGTGGGATCTATACGAATTTCCGCTGTTGCAAAGTACGACCAAGTATTCCTGGGCAGTAAAAGCAGCAACGCAATTGGAGAAACCGCGATACGTGATCTTTGCGCTACAGACCGGAAAAAAACGTACCGTCAGAAGACATTTCTAAATTCGATAATTGTAAGCTGACTAATGTAAAACTCTATTTGAATTCCGAGTTCTATTCCTACGACGATATGAATCTAGATTTCGAGCGAAACAAGTTCGCAGTACTGTACGATATGTATCTAAAATTTCGAAAGACGTATTACGGGTGTGAAACTTGCGAACCGTTCATGCCTGTCACTAGATTTCTGCAATACGGTCCGCTAGTGGTCATCGATTGCTCCCACCAGAACGAATCGATCAAGAGCGCCACCGTCGACGTTCGCGTAGAATTCGAATGCAAAGAGAACGTTCCGGCTAACACAACGGCTTATTGCCTCATCATTCACGATAGAGTTGTAGAGTATAACCCACTGACGAACGTCGTACGTAAACTCACGTAATCGCGGTTTTCCTACGAGAACGATGCCGAACATACCGATCTTCGTCGATCTGCAAGGTTTTACCGAGGTTTTTCGAGAAAAATTTACGGTTAAAGAGGTGGCAATATTAAAAAATGGAAAAGAGCTGACCCATATTTCGAGAAGCGATATCTTGGAATCTTCTTACAAAAACGGAAAAATCTAAAGCGTGTT